GCTCAGGGGTATTATAGAAATAATCTAAAAAATAAAAAAAAATGTGAAAAATATTTGTGGCCAGAATACTTCTCAATCATTTCCAAAATAATAGAAACATTAAAAAAACCTTTTACAAACAAATTTTTTATTTTTTGGATTGTACTGACTTGGGGGATAGAGGGTTTCATTACCCGGCAGATAAATGTTATCGGATCTCGGTAAATTGGTCGGGTCGAGGTCAACTTGGCCCGTTTTGCAAACATTGATAAAGTTATGCTGCTGCATAGGGGTGGTGCCTGGGCGCCCTGGCTCAGCCCTAAAAGAGTAGGGCCAAAGAGGCCCTAGCTCAAGCCTGACCCTGCCCTATCCAAGCCAAGCTCCCAAATATAATAAAAATAAACAAAAAGACAATAAGGAAAAAGGGCCGAACCATTGCCAGCCCTTATCCATGTGAGTTAGGGTGATTTAGTTTACCTTAATTTGCTGCATCAGTATGCACACACTAAGGTTGCTATCCGTTTCATTGAAGAAATTAAATGACAAGGCATCATTTTCGCTTGCTAAGGTTCATTTTCCTAAGTAGGTGAGCATACCTTCTTATGGTGGGGACACAGTCTTCATAAACATACACACAAATAAAATTTAATTTATACACACAAGCAGAAAGACCAAACACTCCAAGAATTTCCTCTTTAAAGCTAGGCATCATAACCAATAGGGAAGCATATAGCATAGTTCTTCCCTGCATGCATTTTCACTTGAATTGGGTACCTTTCAATATTGTTTTTGGATAAGTTTTCTAGGAAGTACACATTGAATAAAAATGTTAATAATAAGTGTACCGTACATAAATACCCAATATTCTTTTGGGCTTGTCTATTATGATGCTATTTATTTTTACCACAAGGAGGTCACAATCACTTTTAACCTCTAATTATGAAATCCAATAGATTTTAATGTATCACAATTATAAAAAATTTGTTTTAAACTTTTTACCCAATCAATTACATATCTCCAACCATCCAATTTCACATCTAATAGTCAATAATAATTGTAACCTTCTTGTCTTAAGAGTAAATGGTCTCATTGTATACATTTCCTATTATTTTAGACTTTTTTCTTTCTTTTTTTTTTGGATATGTAGAATTTTTATTTTTTTCCCTTGTGCTTTTATCCCAATTTGTATCATTAAGGCTAAACCGGAGTTCAAGAGGCATGCTCATTCTCTTTTGTGATTCCTAAATCATAAATTTTTATTATTAGAAAGCTTTAGTATGAGTAAATAATAATAGGAAAAGTATATAATGATATCATTTACTTTTGTTACAAAGTGGTCACAATTAATCTTGGGCACTAGATGTGAAATTAGATGGCTGTATTTATTCATTGATCAAGCTCAAAGTTCAAAAAAAAAATTTCTCGAACTTTATGACACACCCAAACTATCATATTTCACATCAGATGGATATAAATATTTGTGACTTCCCTTACCCAAAGTAAATAGTCTTATTGTATATAATCTCATAATATTGGTACTATTTCCCCTATAAAAATCACCTTTTATCGTATTTAAATTTCCATCTTGTTTCAAGTTATGGATACGTGTGTTGTTGGGTTAGCCTCAATAACCCCCAATTTATATTGATTAAAATACATTTAATATTAAAAAATCTATTACTACAATTAACAAAGAAAACAAACTAAAACAATAAAATAATATAAATAATAATAAAAAGCATTAAAAATTTATAAATAATAAATTAATAGTAAATAATATTAAAATATAAATAATAAAATAATCATAAGATGCATTAAAAATTATAAATAATAAAAAATTTTAAAAATAAAATAAAATAATAAAAAAAAGAGGGGGATTAATAAGCACGGAGGTAGGGCAGGAGCGAAAATACGCGTTCTTCCAACGCGGACAAGCATGGGGCCGTGCGGATGACGTCGTCCCTTCGATCATGAGAGCCTTCGTGGGGCCTACTTCCGGGCCCATTTATGCTGCCTGGATTGTGCGGTGATGACGTTGCATGTCATTTACATACATACATGCATGCGTGCATATACCATACCATATTAGTAAAAGACATGGGTATGACATTACCAATGGCCAACATCAATCTTTTGATCATGCCACCTAAAGTACACACGTGGAAAACGTAAGAAGGGCTTCTTCTACCCACCTCATATTTTATGTTTCAATAAAACTTATATTAGTCCACTCTTAAAGTAGAAAAAAAAATAGGAAATGCCTAAATACCCCCTACAAATTTAAAAATTATTTCTTAATATTTTAATATTTAATTTTAATATTTTATATTTTATTAAATTGAAGAGAAGGTTATGTAAAAAAATTGTAAGGCCACCTATGCTTTATAGAATGGAACCTGAGGCGGTCAAAAAACAACATGTCCATATAATGGGTGTAGTACCAAAAACAAGGACAAAGAAAGATAGAATTCGAAGTGAATATATTAAAAAAAAGAACTTAAAGTATATCTAATAAGTGATAAAATAAGAGAGTGCAGAATTAAATGGGTTGGCTTTGTGCCGCCTTCACATAACAACACAAGTTAGGAGAGGTGATTCCGTTCAAGTGGAAGGCTTTAAAAGAGAAAAAAAAAAACCCCAAAAGAAATTGATGGAAGTAGTGAGAAAAAATATGATGACTCATGTTTTGACTAATAGTATGGTTTTTAATAGAGCGAAATGGCCTTCCACAATTTGTATAGCCGATCCCAAAAATTTCGGATTCATCTCAAATGATGACGATGATGATGATGTTTGTGTCTCATTTTTTATAAACACATCCAGCATTTCAAATTTATCTTTATTCTATTCATCTGATTGAGCTTAAATTTGTGTGTTCGTACTTTTCATCATGACAAGTATGTAAAATACAAAAACAATTAAATAAAAATAAAATAACAAATATTATACAAATTTTAGGGGTATTTCAGTTATTTTGATCGTTTTATTTATTTAAAACTAGTATTTTTTTACCAACCCCTTGTGGTGAAAGGTGTAAAAACAGAACTTGAAATACTGGATGTGATCTTAAAAAAGGCATATGAACGAAAAATATAAAATATTGGGGATATTTGTAAAATATTCAAATAATATGGGATATTTATGTAAATTTCGTAAATTTACGTAGGGACGATAGAATAATTTACGGTATTGCTAAACGATCCATATTTTGGGTTATTTTAAGGTGATTTACGGTATTAGAAAATGATCCATATTTTGGGTTATTTTAAGGTGAGATCTTATTTTCCAAGAATCTCATTTTACCGTTAGTTTGAAAGTTTAACTCGGCCAAAAATGAAAAGATACCAAGTGTTTATAAGATGTAATTTTAGTATAAAAATTCTTAAGATGTCTTAAGAATCCATTTTCAACTCTAATTATAAAATTTTAAATTTTAAAAATAGTTCAAATTATGTAGATCTATTAATATGTGAAAATCTTGAAAATGGACGTTCCAATAATGTGTTGCAAGATGTGTTATTTTTGGAACTTGAAATCTTCTTTTTTTCCATCTTTCGTATATCTCGATATTGAGATGATCAATTAAAGTATTTTTCAATATCAAAACAACTTTTTCCGACGGATTTTTTTAGGTACACCCTAATTCTACATTTTAAGGTGAATAAAATTTAAGCGATCAAAGGGTTTTCTAGTGTTGCCTTGTAGTAGTACAAATCGTGCAAATATGATAAATTTGTAAATATTTGGAAATAAATAGTAGAAATAATATATTGCAAGCCATATTATGTATAGGACTTAAAATTTATTTGTATTCATATTTTTTATCTCTAGTTGAGATGATTAATTTAAATACACTTGAAGTCTACATTTTTTTTGGTGAAATTTTCAGGTTATTTTTTAGGGAAATGATGTACGGTTTGAAAATAAGATGCGGTATTAGAAAAAGATGTCAGTTTTTCATGAGGTCCTACTTTTTCAAGTTTTTTGTTTTATTTGCATTTCATCTTTGGAATGAGAATCTAATTTTCAAACATCTCAAAACAAAAAACAAAAAACTAATAATTTGGATTACTCGAAAGTCAAACTTTTGATTTACCTAATATAAGTGATTGGACTGATTGAAAATCCAACTTACTGACTGTCGAAAATATACAAAATATTATATTATACAAGAACATTAATTTTTATTATTTTGGTAGGCCCAAACATATTTTCTTTCTTTTTTTTATTTGGGGAGTATTAAAATTAGACTTTCAGTGCCTTCTTTTTGAAAAATTGTTTCATGTGGGTTGGACCGCATTTCTGCATATCCGGTCCAGAAAGTGTAAATCATGCATCGTAAAGATGGATGCATGTAGGTATTCTATCTAAAAATAATGAAAACTAACCGTCCAAATGTTCACTTATCATAATTGTTATTTTAAATTTTTAAAATTCATTTATTTATTCATATTCATGATATATATGTTAGAGATTACATGTCCTTAAAAATTAAGTCTTAAAATGCATCTCAAAAATAGCTTTATTAAGAGGCCCGCATTTCTACGTATGCGGGCTTGGCCGTTTAGAGCCCGGGTCTTTTATTTTTACCTAAATAACCCCTATACGTAGTGCCGCGTTGCATTTCATTCTGACTTACTTGCCGCTCTTCTTTTTGACATAAGCCCTAGGCAATAAACCGCCGCACCCTTTTTGGCACAAAGGAAATGGAATTGTGTGGCCCAAATACTCCTAATAAATTAATAAATAAATAAATAAACAGACGGATAGATAATGATTGACATACCACGTAAACAAGGCTACTCGGAGTTCGTCGTTTAATGTCGATTTCCGGCGGTGTCAGGTGATATCCAAAGGCCTCCTTCAGATGCCGGAAACTGACACTCATAGAAATGATGAGAGAAAAAGAGAGGACCACAAAAACAAATGCTAAAAGTAGAGGAAAAGAATGCGGTCCCATTGTCATATGGGCAAAGGCCCCCACTTTTTAAAATGGGTGGGGGATGATTAATTGGAGTTAGTTGGGGAACGTTGGACCACATTGTGACCCGGTGCTTCAGTCACCTGTTTTTAGCACCATTTTTGCAGAAGAGAGAGAAACTCGAGGAGAGAGAAAGTCCCAAATAAATAAAAGGCAAGAAAGAAGAGAGAGAAAGGACCAGATGATCAAAATGGAGAAATGAAATTAAGAAAAATCCTCAACTCTTTTTCTCTCTCTTTCTCTCTATTCTTCTGAGCAGCACAGTCTTGGAAAGTAGCGCCGCTCTTTTTCCATGATTGATCGCAGGCTTCAGAACTTGCCATGCGGCCGCCGCTAATCAGCAACCAAAGAAAGCAATAGTCTTTCTCTCTCCTCTTTCTGCACACGTTCAGAGCCGAAAACGATTTCCACAACTCTGCAGGTGCTTTTACTCTTCCATTAAAGGATCATGGGAATTGGATATGTTCTGATAAATTGAAAGTATCCTTCTTCTATCTCTCTTGCTTGTGTGGGTTGTATGTTCTTCACCTGCTTTTACTTATTTATTGCTGCTTGACCTGTCTCAAACCTTATTGTCACCTTCCTCGAGAATTGCCTGCCGATGTTTCTTTGCGATCATATATAAAACCTGCATATTTCGTTTTAATGGTGAACAAGAGACTGATCTGAGCTCTATTTTGAGTGTTGGATCGTTTTGATGAAATGGGTTTGCAGTGAATGGTTTGATATGGGTATGGAAGATAGTGTATTGCTTGATCGAAGGTCATTGAGTTTAAGGTCTCTCCCTTCTGAGTTTCAACAAGGCATGGAGTTTCGGTCCCTTGACCACCACCACCATCATCAGCAGCAGCAACAACATAGCCATCTCCACCATCATCAGCATCCTCAACAAGCTCTGGTATTCGATGGGGTCGAAACCCTAGAAACATCGCAGATGATTAACCATGACATCTTCAACCTTGAACTATTAGGATTTCAATCGAAGAACAATCCATCCAGAGTCACTGGTGTTTCAATGGATGGTCTTTCTACTGATATGCTTCAACAGTTGGATCACCCACAGTCAAATCAAAGCCCCATTGGAGAAAACCAATTTATATTGCAAAACAGGTTCCTGGATTCTCAAAGCAATGCTTCCAACATTTGGCCTACTCTCTCTCTGTCATCTGAGAAACCCATGCTCGAAATTAAGAATTCAAGGTACTTAGTTCCTGCTCAAAAACTTCTCTATGAGTTCTGTAACCTTGGATCGAAGAGAGATAAGAGCATGCGGTCAATCAATGGTCGGAGTCACGGTGTTTCAACAAGCGCGAATATGGAGCCCGCTCCGTCTGTGTATTCTTCAGACCTTTTCGAGCTCCAAAAGCGCAAGGTCAAGTTGGTCTCCATGCTCGATGAGGTACTCTCTCTCTCTCTCTCTCTCTCTCTCTCTCTCTCTCT